TCGCTTTTGGTTGTTGCCCCACACGCGCGAGAGTGTCCCGAGGGCCTCCGTCCACGACGCCCCCTTGTCACCGGACTCGTACACCCTGCGGCGGCCATCATCACACGCAGTCATCATCATGAGTTTTCCCTTCTCCCACTCCACGACGGAGGGATCACTGCAGCCATAGGCAGACATCCCCTTCGACAGCGTCCAATTCTTAGTATACGAGGAGTACAAGATCAGCGAAACGTTGTTATTCTTTTCTTCCTTTGCTTCACTTTCAGTGCCGTGCTCCTTCACTGCTTCCAAGGGAAACACAAGCGTATCGTCATCCATCTTAATACCCGATCCACCGCCTCCAATGAGCAATGCCCAAGATTCATTAAGTTTTACAATCGAAGTGCACGGGAGATCGTCAGTAACTTCCCAAACAATTCCTTTGTCCTGTTCTTCACTGACATTCCCCTTTACCAGCAAAAGGCCCCATGAGGCCGCGTCAGCCCCACCCCGACAAACAGCGACATTTTCCCTGTTGTATTTTCCAGCAAGCATGTAAATGCCATTTCCCTTCACAACTGTTGTTGGCCGGCTCACATGTACGCTGTAGAAACTTTTGGAACCAGTGCAATTCGTTGACTGAGTGTGGCTTTTGCCTCCTTCGGAAGAACATTCCTCCAGTGTCTTTGTCTTCAAATTACTTCCACCCAATTTTTTGGGGGTTTCACCACTCAACTCAAGGAGCTCCGAGGCAATCCCAGTAAAGAAATATTTTCCATCCTTCAACCGCGCCTCGGCAAAGGCAAACACGCCACCATTCACCTCAACAAGACTGGGAGCATAGAGCGAAACCACTGTTTCTTTATCATTCGTATCTCTCCAGACAATATGTTTTCCCAGTGAAGATCCCTGACCTGACGTTGGCTCATCAGCCTTCACAGCCCCACCAGTGGCGCAGCAAATCACAAGGAAGAGCAGCACCGCGGAAGCAAACACACGCCGGGACACGTTGGACCTCCGATGCTCACCCTCTCTTCCTTCCCTCCTCCTTCCGCTTGATCCGGTCACACGGCGACGGTTGTGTTTATTGGGTGCCTTGACAGCAAAAACACGTGAGAGCATGTAAATATGTGTGTGTGGGCGGTGTGTGTGTGTGCTGTTGGTCCTTTCATAGCCTTACAATTTAGAGTAGCGTTTAGCGTTTAGCGTTTTTTTCCTTCTTGGAGGGGAGCAACAGGCAACAGCGGAAGAAAGGCAGCACAACAGCAGTTCACACCGTCACCACTCACAGCGAACCACAACATCGCCATCCCCGCAGCCATTACTTCCTAGCACCTCTCAACAGCACACAAAAAAACAAACATTTGATTGACCTCCAAATGGGGGGACCGCAGGCCATGGCCCTGCAAATAAGCCAAGCGACAGAGAGCCACGCGTGCAGTGAGTATCACGAGAGTTGCACTGCAACGGCACGGCTGCGTGACAACACGTGTGGAGTATTGATGCAGACCAGCACATCGCCTGCAAGAAGAGTTGCTTTTCCCGCTCAAGAAAGAGGAAAAAGAGCCTTAGCGCCCAATGATGAGAGGTCGCCCGCACCTCCTCGCAGCACCAGCAAGCTCTGTTGGCACAACGATGCAGACGACGCTCTGCTGCACGCATGACGGCCGTTGCATCATTCACAATGGCAACCGCATCCTGTGGCACCACACGCTGTGGTCGACGCGCACAGTCTCCGTCTCCCTCCCTCCCTTCCCTCTCCCTGAGAACTCATCGGTGGCCGTGGCACACTCACCGACGCGTCAGAAATCACTTGTATCCTTCCTCACTTGCACTTCGAACAACAGCACCGCCAAACGCATGTCACTCCTTCTTTCGCGGATTCCCCTCAGACACGCCTCCCGCCACATTCATCAGCTCACAGCCACACAGTCCGTAAACGTCACGCAGTCGCCCCGCATGACGGTGCCGCACACACCAACACGGCACCACGCCACTCGGCGCAAGCAGTGTCTGGACACACAAAACAGGTTGCCCCAGACAACGACAGCCCCCTCCAAGCAGTGAGGCAGGACTCGTCAGTAACACTCAAACAACCAGCTCTTCGTCCCTTCCGCCATGCACGAGGTTCCGCCTGCCACATGCATCATCCGTGACACCTGGGCTCTCAATGAGCAAAAAAACGTTACGCGCCCCTCGGCTCAACAAGAAGCCCATTGTCGATCCTCAGCCAGTCTTCTCCATGGGCCATGCATGAGGAGCACCACGGCAAGAATGCACGGAA